TTTTTTTTTTTAAGATTTTATTTATTTATTTGACAGAGAGAGAGACAGCGAGAGAGGGAACACAAGCAGAGGAGGAGTGGGAGAGGGAGAAGCAGGCTTCCCCGTGGAGCAGGGAGCCCGATGTAGGGCTCGATCCCAGAACCCTGGGATCATGACCTGAGCCGAAGGCAGACACTTAACGACTGAGCCACCCAGGCGCCCCTCAAATAAATAAATCTTAAAAAAAAAAAGATATGTACAAAACTACTTAATGGTACTAAAAGTATTCATTTAAAAAAAATTTTTTTTTTTTTTATTTGACAGAGAGAAAGAGAAGTAGCAGAGGGAGCAGGCGAAGCAGACTCCCTGCTGAGCAGGGAGTCGGATGTGGGACTCCATCCCAGGACCCCAGGATCATGACCCAAGCTGAAGGCAGACGCTTAACCAACTGAGCCTCCCAGGCGCTCCTACAAAAAGATATTAAATTATATTCAAAAGTATATTAAATTCAAAAGATATTAAATTATAAAACAGCATGCATGTTACAAAATGATCTAATTTCATGAAAATCCAAAACAAGCAAAGCTCTATGAAAAATGGAAAATAAATACACCAAACAGATCATTTATACTTTTCTTTTATCTATATTTTAAAATTTTCTACAACAAACATGTCTTCTTTAAACTTATTTCTTGAATAATAATAGTTTTTAAAGTTTCCCAAATAATTATATATTGTATATTAGCATCTTCTCAATTATGTTATATATGCATAGAAAAAAGACTAGAGGGCACCTGGGAGAGAGAGAGAGGGAGCACAAGCAGGGGAAGCAGCAGGCAGAGGGAGAGGGAGAAGCAGACTCCCCGCTGAGCAGGGAGCCCGATGCGGGGCTCAATCCCAGAACCCTGGATTCATGACCTGAGCCGAAGGCAGCTGCATAACTGACTGAGCCACCCAGGGGCCCCGAAGAAGAGGCATTTAAGAACAGCCTAGTTCTGATGGTGTCTGCCTGTGGCCTATTTTATCCCACCACTGGACCTAGGGCAGGCCAGGGGAGCAGGGCAGACACCCTAGCCTCTGCCCAGGCTGGCACCCTCTTTGTCTGCCCACCCTGATGTGGCCCTGCGGTCTTGGTGCTTTTTTCTTTCCATGTTATCTTGGGGCATGATTCCCTTATCTTGGGCAAACTGATTGATGAATGGTGACATGCGTAGGCCAGTGAGACGTGTGTGAATGCAGAAATGGAAGAATGTTAATAAAGAGCCTTACACATACATAATGGGCATAACTCATTTGTGTGCCATTGAGCTTCATGGGGGCCATTCTGCATGCTCTTGCAAAATCTCCCCAACCTCCAGTTTAGAGATGAGGAAACAGGCTCACAAAGTCTCCATGCGTGAACCTGTGTGTCCCTGTGTGGGCGTCTATGAAGTTTCCCTATGTTGTTGTATCCCCAGTCCATCACCAAGTCCTATTAAATAGTACCCCTAAGTAGCTCTCCACTGTCCTCTTCTCACTACTGACAATTCTACCTCCCCCAGTCAAGCCCTACAGCAGTGGTCTCCTAACTGATCTCCTTCAGACTTTCTGTATCCTCCAATTCTCTATTTAACAGGCAGGGTGATCTTTTGAAAATTTAAATCTGAACATATCGGCCTATCCCACCACTGTTGCTTAAGATTTTGCTGTGACTCCCAATGTGCTTAGGATAGAGACAAAATTCCTTAATGTGGATCACAGGGCCCTGTGTAGATACCTCTACCCCTTCTGCCTCATGACTGTGTTTCCCCTCCCTCCTCTCTCTGTTCTAGCCCCATTGACATTTTAATCCTTGTATTCAACATCTCCCTCCTGCCACAGGGCCTTTGCATTTGCTCTGACTTCTGCCAGATCCACTCCTGCTGGTCCCTGTGCCTAGTTTACTCCTATTCATCCTTCAGAACTCAGTTCAAACTGTTACCACTTGCTAGGTCACATCCTCGGTAGACAATCTTTTTTTTTCTTTTTAAAGATTTTATTTATTTATTTGAGAGAGAATGAGAGAGAGAGCATGAGAGGGGGGAGGGTCAGAGGGAGAAGCAGACTCCCTGCCGAGCAGGGAGCCCGATGTGGGACTCGATCCTGGGACTCCAGGATCATGACCTGAGCCGAAGGCAAGTCGCCCAACCAACTGAGCCACCCAGGCGCCCCCTCGGTAGACAATCTTATAGCATGTTTTGCCTTTATTTTTTTTCCAGATCACTAAATACAGTTGCAGCTTTACATTTATTTGATTAGTGATTAACATTTGTTCATTTTTATACTCGACTATAAGTTCCATGAAGACGGGGACAATTTCTTTTGGATCACCAATCCCCAGGACTGAGCATAATGTTTGGCCTAGTAGAGGAGCTTATAAAATCTTTGTTATTAAGTGAATGCGTTAATGAATGAATAAAACCCATTGAGTCTTCTGATCTGGTTCCTTTTCCTGGAAGGGCTCCCAAACTCCTCACAAGACAGGAAACAGAAGATGGAGAGAACGATCATAATGATGTCTGCCCATCCCAGAGTGTAACAGGTCATCAGAGTAACAGCTGAGTCTATGGGCTGCATTTTAGAGGCCTCCCGCTGCTCATTTCTACCCTCTTCCAAAGAGGTCCAGGAAGGAAACCACCGCAGAGAAATCCCTCAGCAAGCCTTTGGCAGACAGAGTCTTACCAGGAAGGCGGAGAGTGAGGAGGCAAAGAAAGAAAGGGAATGGATGGCTCCATGTTTCGGACATCATGTTTACATATATCAACTCATTTAATCCTCCCCCAAAGCCCTATGTTGCAGATGAGAAAATGGCCTCAGAGAGGTTGTGAATGTGAAGGTTATAAAACCAATGCAGGGCAAAAAGCTAAGTTTGAACTCAGAACTGTCAGTCTTCCTCCAAAGTCTGGGCTTCTCCAGGCTACTTTCCTGGTGTGCAGCCCTCAACCACCTCCCCCACTCTATCAACTTAGAGCCCCAAAGTTTTTCATCATTAAAGACTCATCTATTGGAGGCGGCTGAGTGGCTCAGTCAGTTAAGCGTCTGACTCTTGATTTCGGCTCAGGTCATGACCTCACAGTGTGCGCCCTCTCTCTCAAATAAATAAATCAATCTTGAAAAAGACTCATCTGGGGGCGCCTGGGTGGCTCAGTTGTTAAGTGTCTGCCTTCGGCTCAGGTCATGATCTCAGGGTCCTGGGATCAAGCCCCCCATGGGTCTCCCTGCTCAGTGGAAAGCCTGCTTCATCCTCTCACACTCCCTCTGCTTGTGTTCCCTCTCTCGCTGTGTCTATGTCAAATAGATAAATAAAATCTTAAAAAAAAAAAAGACTCATCTGTTGGCTATTATCTAAAGCTCTCTTTCAGGAGTCAGTATATGATGGTTTTAGTCAATACATTGGAACCAGAAACTCAATATTTTATTTTTAAAGATTTTATTTTATTTGAGAGAGAAATAGCACAAGCAGAGGGGAGAGGGAGAAGCAGGCTCCCCACTGAGCTGGGAGCCCGACGTGGGGCTCATTCCCAGGACCCCAGAACCATGACCTGAGCTGAAGGCAGACCCTTAACCGACTGAGCCACCCAGGTGCCCTGAAACTCAACATTTTATTATTATATTTTATTTTAATTTTTTTAAGATTTTATTTATTTATTTGATAGAGAGAGAGACAGCTAGAGAGGGAACACAAGCAG